TTAAGTTCCCCCTGGCCCATGAAACATTTTCACTGTTTTCCCTTCTCCGTAACCTTTAGGGTACCACCCGTCTGCATTATTTTTGTTTCCCTATAGAGCATGTGTCCTCTCCAGAGAGAGGGAGGACAGAGAGACAGAGACAATGAGAGAAAAAATTAGAAATCACTCCCGGGGGGATGGCCACACTGCAATCTCTTTTTTATTTTCCTCCTGGGATCTTGGGCATGCACGCACATGCACCTGTTGTGATTTTCTTTAATTCTTTTTAAGAATTATTTATTCAACTTTATTTATTTATTTATTTATTATTTGACAGTGGGGGTGTGGATCGTGTGGGTGTCCAGTGACACAACCACTACACCATCTGCTAGCCCCCATTTACATTCTTTAAAAAAATTTTTTTAAAATAATTATTTTAAAAATTATTTTGGGAACCAGCAGTTAGCGTAATGGCTATGTCGCTGGACTCCCATGTAGTCGACCGCGGTTTGCGTCCTGGACCCGGTGGCTTAAAACTGACGCCGGGTGCGTGTGCATGTGTGCCCAAGATCCTGAGAGGAGAATGGAGGAGAAGGGATTGTGGCGTGACCATGTGTGTGCATGCCCAAGATCCCAGGAGGAAAATAAAAGAGATTGCAGTGTGGCCATCCCCCCGGGAGTGATTTCTCATTTTTTCTCTCATTGTCTCTGTCTCTCTGGAGAGGACACATGCTCTATAGGGAAACAAAAATAATGCAGACGGGCGGTACCCTAAAGGTTACGGGGAGTGATTTCTCGCTTTCTGTCTCTGTCTCTGTCTGTCTGGCGAGCGCACGCGCCCTATAGCGAAAACCTCTCCAAAAAAAATTTTTTTTACTTTATTTATATATTTTTATTTGACTAGAGAGGGACAGAGTGAGAGAGAGAGACAGAGAAAGTGAGAAAGCAAGCTGCCAGGTCCGGAGCTTAAACCGTGGTCAGCCATGTGGGATTCTGGCGCCCTTAAACACCATGCCACCTGCCCCCTCCCCAACAACTGCATTCTTTATCTGTAGAGATTCCCATTCCAGGTAGTTTATATAAGCAGAGTCATACAGTATGACCTTCCGTGTTCAGTTCTTTCTCCTGGCATAATGCTTCGGAGGTTCATACACATTCTAGCTCATGTCAGTATTTCCTTCCCATTTAGGGCTGGGTGGTTTTCCATTGTATTTACATTTCACAGTTTATTCACCCACTGATGGACATTTAGGCTGTTTTCTGGCCATTATGAATAACATTGACATGAAGATGCATGTGTAAATACTTATTTGAGTACTTTTTTTCAGTTCTTTTGAATATATACCTAAGAGGGACCAGCAGTTGGCTTAATGGCTGTGTCGCTGGACTCCCAATTGCGGTTCAAGTCCTGGACCAGTGGCTTGAACTCAAGCCGGACGCATGTGCGTGTGTCCCCAAGATCCCGAGAAGAGAATGAAGGAGAAGGGATTGCGGCGCGGCTATCCCCCTGGGGGGTGGGGTGATTTCTCACTCTGTCTGTCGTTCTCTGTCTTTCTGGCGAGTGCACACACCCTCTAGCAAAAACCTCTCCAAAAAAAAAAAAAAAAAGATGGAATATATACCTAAGAATAGAATTGTTGGATCATATAATTTTATGTTTATTTTATTGGGTAACTAACAAAATGTTTTCCACAGCAGTTGGGGCATTTTGTGTTTACCAGGCCAGCTGGGTGGTGTGGTGGTTATAGTGGCTATATCCCACATTGACCATGGTTTGAGTCCCGAACCCAACAACTTAAAACTCATGCCAAGTGTGTGTGTGTGTGTGTGTGTGTGTGTGTGTGTGTGCGTGCGTGCGCGAGACACAGAAGAGAAGGGGTTGTGGCATGGCCATTCTCCCTAGGGGGTGATTTCTTGTTTTCTGTTTCTCTCTCTCTCCAGTGAGTGCATGTGACCTATAGCAAAAAAAAATCTCTCCAAAAGAGAAAAAAATAGTACTTTACAGTCACGATGAGGTGACCACAGCCCCAAGGAGAAAGGGCCTTTCTATTCAACAACAGAATGAGACGTTCTCATTCTGGGTGCCTCCCAAGTTAGCCATTGCCCACCAACTGATTAAGGAGTGGGTAGCAAAACATCCATTCTTCCCTGCCGGTTTAGCCAGATCATGCTACCTCGGTAATTCCTTGGTATCCCTAAGGAATCCCAGAGATCAGTTGACAAAATGGAGGTGATGGAAGGCCAGTTCTAGGGTGAACAGGTTGACACAGTGGTTCAGGCACTGGACTCCCACATGGCTGATCATGGCTTGAGTCCCAGACCTGTTGGCTTGAAACTCAGGCCAGGCTCTTATGTGTGTGTGCCCAAAATCTCAGGAGAATGGAGGAGAAGGGATTTCAGTATGGCCATCTCCCTCTCTGAGGTTGTTTTCTCACTTTGCCTCTCCCTGTCTCTCTGTCTCTGGTGAGCGCACGTGCCCTATGGCAAAAACCTTTAAATAAAAAAGAAAAAACGAAAGACCAGCTCCAGGCCAGTCTCATAAAGCAGAGCCGAAGATGAGCCTACAGTAAAACACTGCTATCCGCAGGAACCAGCAGTTAGCGTAATGGCTATGTCGTTGGACTCCCACGTAGTTGACCGCGGTTCGCGTCCCGGACCAGGTGGCTTAAAACTTGCCGGGCACGTGTCGTTGCGTGCCCAAGATCCCGAGAGGAGAATGGAGGAGAAGGGATTGCGGCGTGACCATCCCCCCTGGGGGGTGATTTCTCACTTTCTGTCTCTATGTCTCTCTCTGTCTGTCTGGCGAGTGTACGCGCCCTATAGTGAAAAACCTCTCAAAAAACAAACAAACAAACAAACAAAACACTGCTATCCGCAACGTTGATGAAAGAAGTTCCTACAGATGGATGATCCAAAATGCCAGTGTGAGAAGGAAAACTGATGAGGTGTCAAGTATCAAAATCAGAAGGACGGGTGAAGCTTTAGTTTGGATGTAGGCCCATGTTTTCACCCATTTTCTCCAAGGCCTTGGGAGTAAGCGTCTCACACGTGGCTTATTAGTGGTGTGTTTATACTAACCACCAAAATGTGCCTGGTATAATTTTGAATGAAACTATTATTTTTTTTTTTTAAATCCCCCCCCCCCCTCAGGGGGGATGGCCACACCGCAATCCCTTCTCCTCCATTCTCCTGTCGGGATCTCGGGCACGCACGCACACAGGCCTGGCGTAAGTTTTAAGCCACCGGGTCTGGGACGCAAACCGCGGTCGACTACGTGGGACATAGCGACATAGCCATTACGTTAACTGCTGGTCCTGAAACTATTAATTTTGAAAATATATAACACTACCAAGGTATAAAAATCATTAAATATTTATTGAAACTACATTTTCTGTAAGACCAGGACTGGGGATATAGTGATATGCAGGACCTTCTTCTATGTTATTTATAATATTGAAAAATTGAAAATTCTTTTTTTCTTTTTTTTTCAAAGAGAGTTTTACTGTAAGGGCACATGCACTTGCCAGAGACAGAGCGATGGAGAGAGAGAAAGTGAGAAATCACCCATCAGCAGGGATGGCCATTCTGTAATCTCTTCCCTTCTCCTGGGATTTTAAACAATGTATTTTATTTATTTAATTATTGTTATTATTATATTTGACCAGAGAGAGAGAGAAGGTGAGCTACCAGGTTCTGGACTCAAACCACTGTCAGCCATGTAGGAGTTCAGCACCTTAACCACCTGTTGGCCCCCTCCTTCTCAGATTTTGAGTGCACATGCACATGCACTTGGTGTGAGTCTCAAGCTGCTGGGTCTGGGACTCGAACTGTGATCAACCATGTGAGAGTTCAGTGCCTTAACCATTACACCACCTGCTGGCCCCATATAAACAGTTTCAGTGTAGGATTGGTAATAATGGTATATTTATAAAATTGAGTACTCTGTACGTTTTAAACATCATGTTCTCAAATATAGGACAATGCTTCTGATCATATGAAAGGTTGCAAGAAGATGTCTTTTTCATAAAATGTATACCTTACATGCACTTTGAAAAACCAGGCCTAGGCACAGTAGGGTGTGCATTCAGGGCACTGCTGTGCAGTGCTGGGACCGTGTGGTAAGGCATCAGTTTTGCATCCCAGGTCTGCCTGAACATTCTTGGTCAGCCCACAGGTGCACCCCTGATCCTGGCTAGCTGCAGGGCTGAGGGGGAGGATCACGGTATGAAGACTGTTAGGGTGTGCACCCCCCACCCCTGGAAATGAATACATAAACTTTTAAAAAGTTTTAGAGTTTTATCTAGAAAGGCTCAAGTGAGTGCACACTTTGGTGTTCGCTGTAATTGTTAGTAATAATACTGTTTTAATATTTTTCTTATATATTTCCTGTAGCTACTCCATTTTCTGTACTTAACACACGTTAATACTTTTATAATCAGGAAAAAAAGGTGTTCTCTAAATGGACAGCATAAATTTGGTAAAAGAATGTTGACTGTAATCTTCATTGTCCAAAAAACCAGTTTAAATATTTTTAAAATATTTTTTTGGAGAGGTTTTTACTATAGGGCATGTGTGCTCACCAGAAAGAGACAGACAGTGAGAAATTACTTCCCCGGGGGGGATGGCCATGGTGTAATCCCTTCTCCTCCATTCTCCTTTCGGAATCTTGGGTGCACATGTACACGCGCCCAGCCTGAGTTTAAGCCACCAGCTCCGGTACTCGAACCGAGGTCGACTTACATGGGAGTCCAGCGACATAGCCATACAACAACTGCTAGTCCCAAAGCCTCATTTTTTAAAAAAATATGTCTGTCTGTTGATGTAGATTTGAATTTTTCGATCAATTTTCTTTTCTCTTTTTTTAAAAGAGGCATTCTGTTAATGGGATTGAATGGGCATCTGACCAAAGAAGAGACTTTTTATTCTTGTTGGTATACACATGATATAATCAGAAAAGTCCTTTTGTTGTAAGAGACTGCTTGATTGCTGGTGTTAATAAATATCTACTTTTATCTGACCAGGAATTACTCTTAATTCTAAGAAAAAACTGGAAGCACAATGGGAGATGACAGCGAGTGGTTGAAACTGCCGGTGGATCAGAAGTGTGAACACAAGGTAAGACTTTTCTGGAACTTGGGTTTCAGTGTGATCGAGTTTGTTGTCTGCCAGACAGCTGCTGTTATCTTACTCAAAAACCTGAGAAAACATTTGCAGTTTCAAAAACACCGATGCTTTCTTATAGATATATGTTATGTCATTGAAAACAGAGTTCTACAGTTAAATTTTTTTAGTCTTTAGAAATAATTATAAGGAAGGTGATAATTAATGAAGTGAAAAGCAGGTTATACCTATAAAAAGTTACTAAATGGCTAATTGTGTCATCTCCTAAATACAGTATGATATACTTAATTAGTGCTTACTAATATTTCTTCTTATAGAAACTTTTATTTAGAGATGTGTTCTGAATTCAGCTGTAAATATCCTGCAATTTTTAGATTCTCTGAGCCATGTAATCTGTATTCCAGTATTTATCCTTCAAAACTATCAATATTTTTATTCTGGTCTATGTTGTATAAGTTAACAGGAGATCATTTATAATATTGTGTTAAGAATTAGTAGCTTTTAAAATTATCCTTTTTTTTAATCTCTTGACATACCTCTAGTTTCTCTCACTTTTAACCATATTTAAAAACAAGAAATATTTACCAGTTCGTTCATAGATTTTAGAATTGCATTTCATCTATCGTAGTTAAGGTTCTTAGGTTAACCATTTTATGTTCTTGAGAATTTTTTAAAGTTTTTTTGCATCCTGATTATTCAATATTTATGGTTCTTGATTGCCGCAAATATGAGTAGCTATATTAGCCAACATGGTTGTATACATACAGCTTTACCTACATAGAACAGAATTTGCTCCCTATAGCCTCCGCAGAGCCACTTCTTCATTCTGTGTAAGAAGTTAGCTGGGGTTGAATACCGTATCCAGTCATCAGCATGTGTCTTTTCACTTATGGCTAGATTAACAGTGAGCTAATTCACTTTTATTCTGACTAGTTTAGGATTTGTTGGCATAGAGTACGTTAAATTGCAGCAACACAAATTGAGGGGAGAATTTTGGAATTTGTTTAGCATCAGAGCTATTTGTAATACAAATGGTAGGTCTGTATTTTCTCACTGAAAGGGACAGACAAAATAGACAAATCTCAAACATTTTCCAATTTTTGATGTCCTATATGCTAAGAATTTTTAAATCTAGTGTGATTTGGTGGGGATTTTTTTTCCATTTGTATCATCTACTGTTGAGCACTTATTAGCTGTTTTTGAAACTTGAAGAACAGAAATGTTAAATCTGGCTTAAATTGCTTGTTAAACGTTTGCCTTTTGACACTAATTCATGGTGCAAAATGTGTAGTGCCTTCTTCCGGAGAACTTAAGCACCCTATAGTGGATTGGGCAACTTTTTTTCCTGAGAAAGAACATTTTTTTCTATGAGCATAGTACCTGCCCCAAATTATATTTTTATTTAAACAAATAACATACAACTTATTTTATTTTTTCAATTTTATATCAATTCATCTTTCTCAATCTAATATAGTGTTGAGGACAAACTTCTCATTCTCTATTAGCACCTAACACAGTAAATGCAAAATTTCATCGTCACACAAACTCGCTTCTCACTTAATTTCTCAAATCAATTCAGTGCTTTCTCATTGGTCTTAGAATAAGGAGTAGAAACTCATTTGGTCTCCACAGTCCTTCATTGCCTGGCCCTTTCTGATCCTCTTCAGCTCACGTTGTAGCGTGTTCCTTCCCTCATCTGTCTTTGTAGGAGTGGGAAATACTGATCCACTCTCTGCTGTAGGGCCCATGAACATGCTGTTCTTCCCCTGGAATATCCTTTCTCCCCTTTGCCACCCTTTCCTGATTAGTTCCTTTTCATCTGTCAGACCTCAACCTAATTATGTTACTCAGAAATACTTTTTTTTTAAAGCTAATACAAAATAAGCTTTTTATTATGTTCATTGCCAGAGCACCAAATCCCTTCACTTTTGTAGCATTTAACACCTTATTAATTTTAAATTTGTGTGTTTGCTCAATATCTTTGTCTACTGATAGAATATAACTCCAGTGGTCAAGACTCTGTGGGTTTCTATATATTAAATACCTGTTAAATAAATTAATGAAAAAAAATCCGTAAAGGTGTCAGAAATCTAAAATTAGTGCTATGGATTAAAAATTTACTGTATAGTATAAGGCTGCCTAATGATTACACAAATACAACCAAAAACAGCATACTTTATAGATTGAGCAGTTTCATCAGGGTGATTTCTTATGTTTCAGTTTTCACATCTTTAATAGCATATTATAAAAAAATAATAACTAATACTTGGATACTATGTGACATACATTTATAATAGCCTATTATGAATTTTAGATGGTCTTGGCAGAGTAGCTTAAATATTAAACACTTGGAAGAAGCTTATTGGCTAATCTTTTTTGAAAACTGTCTGGATTCTTAAATTCCTTTTGTTTCCAGTGATGGAGTCTTTTGTTCTTATTACCTAGTATAGGGTATTCGTCTTTTCACTGCCCCCTACCCTGAATTAATACTAAATAATAATGTCATTAAATTTTGTTTTGTTTCAAAATATTTTCTTTTAGCTCTGGAAAGCAAGGTTAAGTGGATATGAAGAGGCCCTGAAGATCTTCCAAAAAATAAAGGATGAAAAGAGCCCAGAATGGTCCAAATTTTTAGGACTGATCAAAAAATTTGTCACAGATTCCAATGCAGTGGTTCAGTTGAAAGGCTTAGAAGCTGCTCTTGTTTATGTTGAAAACGCCCATGTAGCAGGAAAGTAAGTAGTTTCTTTCCATCAGTTCTGGTAAAAACATCCTGTCTTGTGCTACGTAGATTATCTTGTGCTGCTTCTTTCCTTTTTTTATCCCCTTCCTCCTCCTCTTCTTTTTTTCTTTTTTTTAATTTCCAGGGGTTATATGCACTTGACAGAGACACAGAGAGAAAGCACCTCTTTCCCCACAGGGGTGTGATCACATCACCATCCTTTAGGGTTTGGGGCACCTGTAAAGGTTTGCCTATTGTGTTTTCAAGCCACTGGCACTGGTATTCAAACCTTGGTCAGCTTTGTGGGGTCTGATTCCCTACGCACAGCATTTAACCACTGTGTTATGGGACTGGCCCCTACATGGATTAATTTTTTATATATTTATGAATCACCTTTCTTAGTCATTAGCAATTTTAGAATATATATTTTCTTCTCTCTTTTTTTCTATAGTTTTTGCTATAGGACATATGTACTCACGAGAGAGAGAGCGCGCGCGCGAGATCATTCCCCAGGGGAGTGGCTGCACTGTAATTCCTTCTCTATTCTCTTCGTAGGATTTTGGGCACACGTAAACACATACCTGCTGTGTTTTTCAAGTGTCCAGGTCTGGGACTTGAACTGCTCTATTGGTCATGTGGGAATCAGCTACCCTAACTACCACGCCACTGACTGACCTGTAATTTTCTTACTTTCATAGGTCCTTGATACTTGTTTTTCATGTGGTCTTTACTCGGAGATAGCCAAAGAAGAATAAATTATAAATCAGATTTTGAGTTTTTCCTTAATGTTTGATGAGCTAGTGCTTTCCCTTTTGAGCTTTTTGTATGAAAATTATTCTAAACTTTAATAACATTTAGAAGAAACTGAGAAGTTTCAGCTAAGGAGTAATCTGAAGACATTTGGGCATTGCACAAAACTTTTCTACACGGGTTCTCAACTAGGTGATGTTAGGATCACATCCTTCTCTTTTTGTCATTAGTTATTTTTATGTCTTGGAGGAGATAATTCTAACTAAACAACCTCTAAGACTCCTGGGCCCATTTGATTTGAGCTATGAATGTTAGAGGTTTCTAGTAATGCCATTCTCTCATGCCTCAGAAACCTGATTTTTCTGTTTTTTTGACAAAACAGAATTGGAAGAATTGCATGCTAGATGTAATTCCAACCCATTCAATTTCTCTAATTCCCAGTAGTACAGCCATTATTTAATTTAGTAGAGAATCAAAGCAGTAAAGTTACTATAAATTCTTGCTGAGGATTCAAGAGCAATCTTTTTTTTTTTTTTAAGGTTATATACTCATTCATTCTATGAAGAAACTCTCTTGTCCTCAGAAGTATTTAAAATGACTTAAAATATTTTTCAAAAAGCAAGCACTGAGGCCAGCCCATGGCATGGTGCTTGTTAAAGCAGCTGGATTCCACACAGCCAACTGTGTGGTTTGAGCCCAGAACTGGCACCTTAAAAACCACGGTGGGGCCATATGCATGTGTGCATGCCCAAAATCCTGAAAGAAAGGAGAAATGGAGGAGAAGGGATTGTGGTATGACCATTCCCCTTGAAGGGGTGCTTTCTCACTGTCTCTGACAAGCACATGCACCTGCTGACAACAATCTTTTAAAAAGGCAAGCACTCTGCAATCCTGTTCTTGTGAAATACCCATTTGTATGGATAAAAGATACTTAGAGAAAAGTCTGGCAGGAAGGCTATCAAAAAGTTGAAAGTTGTTTTTTCCAGGTGATAGGATTTAAATAGATACTTGCCTTCCTATTTGAATTTTGTACCCTTATAAACTAAAACTATGTCTGATGTGACATATCTTAAACTTACATGGTTTACATAACTTTTTTGTTTTGTTTTTTACTTTCTTGAACACAAGTATAAACATTAGAGACTCATTTACTTCTAAATATTTACAAATGTACTTGCATGTCTCTTCATGACCTCTTACAAACTCATTCTAGTAAAGTGTGGTTTCTGTAAGTGTGGTTATTGTTGTCTATAATTTATATTACAGAACCACAGGAGAAGTTGTGTCGGGTGTTGTAAGTAAAGTGTTCAACCAGCCTAAAGCCAAAGCCAAGGAGCTAGGCATAGAGATTTGTCTCATGTACATAGAGATTGAGAAAGGAGAAGCTGTGCAGGAAGAGCTTCTGAAAGGCCTGGACAATAAGAACCCCAAGATCGTAGTGGCCTGTATAGAGACACTGAGGAAAGCCCTAAGGTAAGACTTTCTTTTTGCTTTAGTTCTGCTAACTGGTATATCTCAATTGAGTTTGGGTTCCTGGTTTAAACAGAAGTAG